GCGTGGGGCGGGGCGCGGAGCTCAGCGGGGGGTTCCAGTGGCGCAGCGCGGCGCTCGGTGGGAGGGAGGGGGCTCGGCGGGGTGGCGCTTTTTTTTTGCTGCTTGGGGCAGCAAAAAAGTTAGAGCCGGCCCTGATCACAAGAATGCAGCTGACTCTGGGCTGGAACATGGAAGCTTTGAAGAACAATGCTAGCTAACATCTTGGAACAAGAAGAGGAAGAAGAATACTAGGAGTAGCTTTGGGAAGACAATATAATTATGTATAATTTGGCTAATTGGCTCCTGTCCTTGTATACGGATCCCCGTCATGGGGAACAAAACCTGGAATCTTCAGTGCCAATACCCAGGCATCTCCCACTTGAGCTAAAGGAGTAAAATCATCACGTGGCAGCAGTAGCAGGCTGTTATCTTCTATACTGCTCAGTCAATAGAGAAGGATGTGACAGCTTTAGCTATCATCATGCACTTTCAAGTGCCATAGTATCTTCCATTACCACAGTAGGTCAGGGCTTCCCCTGAAAGTGGGATGTTTAAAATGGTGGTATCTCCTGAGTGCAGGTCTGCATAGATGTGACAGAGGTAGCATTGCTGCAGTATCTCCTGTGAGCATTTTCAAAAGGGAGCGGACAGTCTCCAATTGCCTTTGCTCACAATTCAAACCAAGGCGTCTGAAAATTGCTGTCTAAGCCAGTGGTTCTCAACCAGGGGCCTGGGGCCATGAGCAGGTTTCAGGGGGTCCGCCAAGGAGGGCCAGTGTTAGACTCACTAGGGTCCAAGGCAGGAAGACGAAGCCCCACAGCATGGGGCTGAAGCCCGGGGCCCTGAGCCCCACCTCCAGGGCTGAAGTTGAAGCGTGAGCAAAGTAGTTTCATGGGGCCCCAGGCAATTGCCCTGTTTTCTACCCCCTAACGCCGGCCCTGGCTTTTATATGCAGAAAACCAGATGTTGTGGCACAAGTGGGCTGTGGAGTTTTTATAGCATGGTGGGGGGCGGGGGAAAGGAGCTCAGAAAGAAAAAGGTTGAAAACCCCTGGTCTAAGCCATTGCTATAGCTCTTCCCTTGTGCACCTATGGGTTTCCATGCATCTGTAACATATGGAGGGGAGCTGATCTGAGAGCCTTGAGGGTATAGAAGGCAGCGTGTGACCCATCAGTCAGCATCAAAGCAAAGAAGCCACATTTCAGCTCAGTCATTTTTAATAATTTATGATTTTCACTTGGTTTCCAGAGTGTTATTACTGTGCTTAATATCATTTACAAATTACACATGATCCCATCAATTCTAGAAAAGTGAGGGAATGTCTGGGAGATGCTAAAAAAATCAAACTTTATAGCGTAAATGGGAATTTATGGCCCTGGGCTGGCTGGCTCAGCAGGGAGGTATACAAGTTACCCACATATCATTATTACGAGCTACATGGCAGTAGGCCCCAGCTGAGATCAGGGCCCCACTGTGCTAGGTGCTGTACAAACACATATTAAGAGACAGCCCCTGCCCCAGAGAGCTCATGTTCTAAATAGCCAAGTCAGACAAAGGGAGGGAGGGGAAGTGACTGGCCCAAGGTCACCCAACAGGTCAGTGGCAGAACCAGGAATAGAATCCAGGTCTCCTGACTTATCCACTAGACCACAATGCAGCTCTAATTATGCTAATTGTTAACGATACGGTTGTACACCCATTCCGATCACTAAGGCTGTGGTGCTGCCTAATAAACCAAATCAGGCTGGTGCTATCCTCAGCTGCAATGGGGCTGCACTGCACTGCACTGCCGGAGCAAAGCATCCATAAATCCAGCATGCCCACCGAAGGGGTGATTGCCTCCGTGTATGCCAATGCCTCACCATTCCCCTCTCCCTCGCCAGTGTGATGTAGGGAACGGGGCTGAGGTCTGAATGTCCCTGCGCCTTGGAAATCCCCAGCTGGGGACCAGCCCTGCACAAAACAGCCCCAGAATCAGGGAAGTGCAAAAAGTGGCCCCAAGCTCATGACCTGGTGCACTCCCTGTCCTTGGCTGCACCATGCAGCTGCAGATCAGGACCAGTATCTGCCATGTGTAGGTGTGGGATGGATTCCATTGCCTGGGGCCATGGAGAAGAGTCAAGAATGGAACCCAGGCGTATCAACTTTCAGTGCCCTGCTCTAACCACCAGACAAGCCAATTTTGAGATGCACTGGAATTCCTCCCACTTCCACCCTGGGCATCCCAAAATGAGTCCCAGGGTTTGCACTTGTAATTCATCAGTCATTCTTTGCAGGCATCAGAAAAAACATCTGTTGAGTAATAACGTACTTTAGGAGTGCATTAGAGTCAGATAGCCATGTCCCTCCTGTGTGGGGCAGGGCAGGGGTTGAGGTCACGTTCTCCCTACACACACAGCTCAGGATGCCTTAGGTTACTTAGCCTACATTACAGACTCCTGGCTTTGTCTCTCCCCCTACGTTCATGATAGTCGACGGTACCTGACAGAGAAGCTTGTGTTGCCGAACAGGTCTGGAGCTGTTTGTCTTCTCACCTCTCAAAAGCTGTCCCCTTTCCTTTCTCCGTCCCTCACATTCTTCCCCTCCACAGGAGCAGAATACAATAGATGTGTGAATAGTCTTGCCTTCTTCTGGGAGGATGGTTCTCCCCACCCTACCTTTGAATTCAGAATCATATCTTCTATTTTCCTGCGCTTAGAATGCCCCAGCCACTGAGCTAGCCCCACCCTGCCGCTGGGGAGAAGCTTGAGAGCTCAGAGTTGCGCTGACGCTCAGGACAGTGGGGTGGGTCAAAGATAATTGCTCCGTCTTCACCACAACCCAGTCAGCTCCATAGTCCATCCTAAAGCATTTCAGCAAGGCAGATGCCTACAAAGGAAGG